ATAATTAAAAGTTAAATTCTTATTTTTCTTCAGGATCAAGTTTTTGGTTTTGTTGCAAAGTAAGGAAATATAAGTGAAATATAATATAAATTATTGTTGTACTTTGCATATTAGCAGTATCCAGGGATCAATTACCATGGATGAGCTTCCCAATGTGATATATGTAATGAGCCTCCATTAGGATGATGATTGAATCCTAGTTTTGGCTCTCTTCCATTGGGTGGTTTGTATGGTGGATAAGGCTTAGCCTCCCCCACATGACCTTACAAGTCATTTAATGAATTTGAGGTGAGATGACACATATGCCTTCTTATTCCCAATTTCCATAATTTGGTCATGATGACTCTAATTATGTATAGTATAAGGGTTTGAATGATTCCTTCTCCCATTGGATGAAGATTGAGGTGAGTGATGATCTCACCATATCTTCCTTTAATATTTCATGAAAGAATGAGACATCCTTCTTTCCTTCATGATGGCTTCATAATGGTTTTTGTCTTGAGTCAAAAATCATGACTCATGGTTTTTTCATGAATGTTTGTCATGTCATGGTAGGTTTCATGGGTCACGGGTGACCCATTGACAATTTGTCATGAAGTGAATTTAGGGTTTAAGTATAATCATGGGTTTAGAGTGGCCATGGATTTTGTCTTGCCAGGTGTTTTAAACCATGATTTTACGCTTAAGTCCTTGGTATAATAATCTTTACTTTCACTCTCTTTAATCAATTAAATAAATAATTAATTAAGAGAATAAAATAACTTGATGAAAAGACCAAATTTGAACAAAAAATGGTAATGTTGACCAAGTTTGACTAAGTTGATCATGGTTGACTATGGTTGACCATGATTGACCAATTTAGGTCCAGGATTGGCTAGGGTGACTTACTTGACCATGGCATGGTTAGGTTAAACATGGGGTTATTGGATTTGGTGGTATGTTTTGGGTTTGACCAAAGTTGACCAGGATGATCAAATTGACCATATGGTGTTTTAAGTCTATGGATGACCACATGGTCAATGTGGTGATCATGAGGTTCAAAATTGACCATTTTGACCAAAAGTTTGATTAATGGGTTTGGTTGACCAAATGGTCCAATTTGTCCAATTTGGTGTTTAGGTTGACCAATTTGGTGTCTGGCTTGCCCAAACGGTTTAGTTTTACCAAGGTTGACCAAAGCTGATCATTTTGACCAGGGTTGACCAATTTGACCAAAGTTGACCAATTGGGTATCAGTTTTGACCAAGTGGTCACTGTGGTAGCCATTGGGGGATGATTTGATCAAATCATCAGGGTTTGTCATAGCTGATCTCTGATCATTTTGGGTGTTAATGTGGTTTGAACCCAAAAGAGGTATCTGAGATTCTTGAGTTGATGTAGGTGACTCAAAGCATGTCCTGTCTATAGGTGTCAGTTTAGGGTCCTCACAAAAGTGAGGTCAATAATGATGTATACTAAGTCATAAGAAATTACACATTGAAAAGTAAAATTAAAGTCAATGCATATAAAATTTTAGATTTACTTTTATTGAGCAAATGTTATGAATACATACATAAGATTATTATATGATTTTCTATAACGAAATATGAAAGATCAAGATACGTATTGTCTTCTTTTTTTTGGGTTACTGTATTTTAGGAGTATGATTATTCTACTAGGTTATCTTATCTAATTCATTATACTATTTTAATATCTTTTCATTTTTAAGCTTTTGAATGAGATGAATATAGAGGAGATAATTGTGTACAGAAGGCCAAAGTAACAACAAGAAATGTAAATTTTTATTTGTTGATTAAATTTCTTGCTTTAATGACCTTTTTTTAATTGTTATTTGAATATTAAACTTTTACTGATAAAAATAAAATAATAGAAATTATGCCTATTACCGTCCGATTGTCTGTTCCTATCTTGGTTAATTCTACAACCCATACAGGGTCGTGATTGACTTCAAGGCTATGTTGGGTTTGGTCTAGTACAACTTATGGAATTCAAGCTTGTTTAGTACTATATTATAAGGTAGTTGAGGATTTAATTAAGGTGAAACCAATTAAATTAGGGAGTCCAGCCACAAAAACTATAAGCTCAAGACTAGTTTCGTAGGGCCGGGATTCAATATTGCCCACGAGTGAGATCAACAAGACATTATAGAACCCATAACGATATGTTTACTAGCCAAATATGTAACAAGATATAATGGTTAGTTTGGGACAATTATTATTATATGTAAAATTGGTTATAGAGATTTTTTTGGAACAACAAAAATTCTTAAATTTGGTCAAGGTATTATATATGGACCTTTTCCCTCTAAAGTCAGACAACTTTCTTACAGTTATCACACTGAAGTAAATCTTGTTGCTAAAAGCTTAGCTCGAAGGTTATAGCCAAAATTAAAATTGTGTTAGGAGTTTGCAAAGTTATGCTGTCTGAAAATTATCCTAAATTAACCCTACATTGGAGTATGCATGCTTTGTACCACTGCCAAACCAATAAATAGGAAGTTGGGATTGTTCATGAGCACTCTGTAGCATGCCATTCATGAAAAAGCATCTCTATGGATGGAACTCATTCTGACTATTATCATAACTATGAGGAAGATCTACAGACATGCCACTAATTTATATGCATTTACATATCTAACACCTAAACTTTAATTTTTACATATATGCCACTTCACCTATGCATGAAAAAATGTATTTCACTTTATAAAAGTTAAAAGTATTGATATTTTTGTTGTGGTATTGAAGATTTGGGTTGTATTAATTTAAAAAGCAGAGTTTAGGTGTCAGATAAGTAAATCCATAAGAATTGGTCGGTATGTATGTAAATGCCCCTAAATATTATTATTATAAGCATTATTTCTCTAGGCAGAGTTTGCTGAAGTATTTGTTAGATTAATCCCTGTTGTAATTGTCTACTTGAAATTTTGTATAAAATCAAGAAATATTCTCTTTCCTTTATTTTTCTTTTCTTCTCCCTTTTCTCTCTGTATCTTCCGAGCTCAAAGATGTCTGAGTCCTAGGTACTCCAGCATATACCGCCATTGTCATTGTTTGCCCTATTCTCCCCACAGCCACTTGCTTGCTTCTGATTTGGGCTGCTGCTCCCCTATATATTATACTAGCAAGCACTGATGCTGCCATGCAGCCCTGCTTAGCTTCCGGGTGCCACCTCATTCACACCACACAGTATTTGTTCTCAACTGTCGTCACATCATCATTAGCCTTATGCTTTCTATGCGGAGTTTTTTTGTGAATCCTATCGGTTATGTAAAAGATGATATAAAAATATTAGAAGTTTATGTTGTGTGAATGAGCATGTTATATTTGATTTTCCTCTTTTTTGCTGGCGTACCTTAAACTAAATAATTTCAGGAGTGGTTTTGAAAAGGTCACTGAAAAGGATACCAAAGATAAGGTGCTGGTTTGTTGGATTTTGTAATGTCAATGGTATTGAAGCGGCTAACAATTTCAGTGAAGAGTGGTCCACTCAATTGGTAGTTGGCAAGCATGACTGTCGCCATTACACCAACAGTACGTCATCTTTCTGCTTTAGTTCTACCTTTGCTTTCTTCCTTGCATTTATATCCAGGTGTTGGTTTTTCATGGTAGTAGTTTGGACAATGAAACTCTGACTTCTGACAAATTTTTTGTCCAATTTTTTTAATACTTAAATTTGAAAAAATGATCATGCATATTAATTTGATAAAGGGATTAGGAGATTTTTTATTAGTAGAGCTTTTTTGTGGTATATAATTGCAAAAATGGAACAAATTAAGCTACTGAATTAACTGGATATGTTTTTAGAATATTAATAAAGTATGAGAAGGAAAAATGAAGTAAGAAATCTTGTTGTGTGTTGAGTGATGTGCAAGAAGTGTCTTTAGGACCATTGCTGCCCCTCAAAGAACATATCTTTGTGCGGAAGGCACTGCCGGTAGCTCTCTTGGATGAAGTCTCATGCGTTGTGCACGTGTCGTTGAGAGTCATAAGAATAACCTTCTGGTTTATTATATAAGGGTCTGTTTGGGGCATCTGCAACTTTTTGAATAATTTGCTGATAAGCTAGGTGCAGTGACTATTGTGACTATTACAAATTTTTATTTTTTTTGGAAAAGCCAGACCGCAGCCATTAAGTCGCAGCCATAAAGTTGTCACCGCACCTAGATAGGTGAGGTGTGAAAATGTGTGAAAACACTGTTTTCAGCGTTTTGAAATTACATAAGCTGCCAAATTGCAGCTTACCCAAATAGGCTAGGTGCGTGTTCAAAATGCCACCTCACCAAATAAGCTGCCCCAAATAGACCCTAAATTAATCTGTATCTCATAGTGGGCAAATAGTTGTAGTAAATCCAAATTTGGAGATTGAAGAATCACGGGATTGCAAGGCTTCATGGCCCAGATCTATTTAGTGAGTTTCTTCGTGCAGTTTCTAGCAATTACTTGCCACTTGGAACTGGCTGCTACAAAGCAATTACTTCTTAGATCGAACGAGAAGAGTGCGAGAGAAGGGAGTAATAGAAGGAAATGACAATTGAAAATTGTGGACATTGAAAATGGAGAGGAAAATAAGTAGAAAGACAGAACTCGTTTTTGTATATATAAATGTAATTTAGTATTATTTGCATATATCTTTGTCAGTAGTAAAATACCCAGTGGCTATAAGTTTGGTGAAAATAAAGAGGAAATAGGAAATTTGGAGAATGTTCTCTAAGTTCATGGGAGCAGGGAATGACTTTATCTTATTAGATGTTAGACTTTCTAAAATAAAATGCCTTTAACTTTGAAATAGAATTTAACAATTCACCCGTACAAGAAAAAGAAAAAAAAAAACAATTCTCCACATATTTCGATATAACTTAATCAGTTAAATGATAACCACTGAATTAATTTGATAAGAGCTTGGTTAGACCATGTTTTGAATGAACCTCTCTTTTAATGTGAGTAAAATTATTATCACTTAGATTACATTCTTAAAGATGGCTATTCAACATGATTTGACACATTTTGGCTCTCGGCCAATTATAGACTCATTGATTGTTATAGAAAGCTTCCTTAGCATTCTTAAGCAGCAGTCCATTTCCATAATCATATAGGTGACTCCATTTAGTCTGCACTGGTACTTGAAACACCGTCCAAAATTAGGGACATGGAGATCATTAACCGCATAGCTTTACCTTGTTAATTGTAGTTATTCCCTATCCAACATCTTAGTAATGGACAAATTTAAATAATAAAGTGATAGTGCATCACTGAGTTGGCCGTAAACTTATTGTTCCCCGTATGTATCTACTTCATGTGATCACTGTTTACATAGGGCGGATTAATCTCTACTAACTTCTGTGAAAGGCATATGCTTCACTACCCATGATGTATTTTTCACCAATTTCTTTCCTAGTGGTTTTCTTAGAGGATTTGCTAGGTTCATCTCAATCCTTACAAAATTAAGAGATACTATCCCATCATTCAACATTTATCTCACTATTTAAGGATTAAGTGAATATTCAAGCTTTTACCATTTTAAGAATGCTATTTGCCTTTGTTATGTTAATTTGGCAATCACAATTAAGTAACATTTAGATTTGTTTTCTATCAAAAAGGTACATATGCCACGAGGTTTGTAAGCCGGTTATATCAAAATGAGATGATCATAAGACTTTGACGTTATTGATAGTATTTAATTTAGTACCACAAATTAGCAACTCATCCACATTAAGGCATATATACTTGCATCATTGTTATCCAAATCAAATATAGTGTAGAAACACCTCTATGTTTTTGTAATCACAAAGCTAGTAGAAGACACCACCAACAACAACAACAAGCCTTTATCCCACTAAGTGGGGTCAACAATCTAGCAGACAACATAATAGAATTAGGGTCTGTTTGGGGCAGCTGCAGCTTATCCAGATAAGCTGTTAATTAGCACTTGATCCAGATAACTGGCTGGCTGTTTCGTTTATGTGTTTGGAAAATAGCTGATTTGCAGTTGTTTCTAGATAAATGATCATTCTGCCATTGATTTGAATAAACTGTCTAGCTATTTGGTTTGTGCGCTTGCAAAATAATTGATTTACAGCTGTTTCTGGATAAATGATCATTCTACTATTATGCAGTTGTGCTGTTTGCAACAAAATTGTTTTAGCTATATATTTGATAGTTTAGAAAAAAAAAATTCATAACAGTATAAAAAGGATACACACTTTATTTAATAGCGAGTATCAAAAAACCTAAAAAAAAAAGAAAATAAAAAAGGATACACACTTTATTTAATAGCGAGTATCAAGAAACTTAAAAAAAAAAGAAAATAAATATTAAAATTACAATTAAAAGTATGATAACATTCATTTTAAAATACAGAAGCATGTCACGAGCAACATTGTCATGTAGGGATACTATCATGCCTCGATCACTATCGGCAGTGGAATCGGGCTGACTGTCTACCCACCTGAATAACTCACACTTGTCCGGACCGTCTGCCCACCGCGAGCACTTGTAGAACTGCCGCCCGTAGCTATGTGACCGACGTGACGTGAATAACAAAGACGATAGCCCACAGTGACATAACACTCGCCCGAAGTTCCATGAGAGCTTGGAGATCTTCTTACTATAATAATTCAAGAGAGAACACGTTAGTCATAAAATCAGATGAAATAGAAAAAATCATGGAAATTGAATAAAAAATAATATTGAATAAAGATAAAAATGATTAAAAAAAATTCACGCGTGAGGTCTTAGAGAACTCATTATTCTAATCAGTGAATCTGTAACTACAAGAAGACAGTAGACCTCGTAAAAAACAAGGTTCTTGGTTGTTTTTTACCAACACAGAACCAACCTCAGGAGTGCCACATATGCATATCACCAAAAAAGATCATTCTGAGGATCCTTAAAAATCATATCGTGGAAAATAAAAAAGGAAGTCGGTTCTCTTCATTAGGATTTCACATGTGACGCTAACTAATAGTGACTGACAGATCATCCGAAGAACTGAGAAAGGTCAAATGACTCATCATCAACCTCACAAGCCTACAAGAAAAAATAAATAAATAAAACTCACATGGTGAAGAAAGAAGCCAAACTTGTGAAAATTACAAAACTAAAAAAAATTACAGACGTGAGGGCTTAGAGAACTCATCACACAATCAACGAATCTGTCACTACAATATGACAGTTGACCGTGTAAAGAAATGAGTTCTTGGTTGCATTTAACCCACATATAACCAACCTCCCATAAGTCACATGCGCATATCACCAAAAAATCCCATCCAGAGCAACTTAGTAACCCGTTTGCCCGAAAAGAACAGATGTATTTGGTTTCCCTCATTGTGCATATACAAAAAAAAGCCATTTAGAATGCTTCATAAACATATGCACCGAAAAGAAGAAAACTACTCGGTGACATTCATTGGGATTTCACATATAACACGACCAACAATGGGCAATAGACCATCTAGAAGAACCCATAAGGTCCCGAGTTTCATCATGTAGCTCACAAGCCCGCCAAAACAAGTCATATAAAATTCAAGCATAAAGTAAAGAAAATGTAATCATATTAAAGTTTCAAATCAAAAAATATCTGTGATGCAAATGAGATACAATAAACATAAAAAATTTTAATTGAACAAGACAGGTCCATTCAAAATTCAAAAATGTCATCCGTTATCTGTTCTCTCAATGTTGTCATCTCCGATGCACCTTCACCGTCTCGTGTGTTAACATTCTATGATTCCATTTGTAATTATAGTATGGATTGTCTTACATGGAATTTGAATGCTTCTGGCCGAAGATAGAGTTGATCATCTTCTGCAAGGGTGAAGTCTACATCCGATCTAGAGGTTGTTATCAAATGTAGTTTTGTAGTATATAGTGTCAACTATTATCTGCACTTTATCAAATGTAGTTTTGTAGTATATAGTGTCAACTACTATCTGCACTTCAAAAATGGGTAAGTCGGCATATCACGTAATATCGCCCACTTTTTCTTCCACACTCCGAAGGATTTCTCAATCACGCAGAATAAGGAGTGCCTCTTGTTAAACATTTCCTTCCTACAACGTGTAACTCCGCTGAATCTTCCAAAATTAAGAATGTGGTACTTCATATTAGGGTTTGACTTCAGATATCCCCTCTGCAAAGAATATAGAGCATCAACCAAGTAATATTTACCTGGAAAAATACGTCAATTTGTAATGAACCAGAAGTACCGAACGTATTTGCTATATCTACGTACCTAGAGGTGGGTACGAGAATCAGTTTCTTTAATTTTTGGTTGCAAACTTAAAATCACGGCTATCATGTGCACTTTCCTCCCATCAACCATAACAAAAGTGAAGTACATGCTAAAGTTATACACGACCATCACATTTTGTACAAGATATGCAACCTTCTCTGTATAAGATAGCCGTGCGTTCCGTCAATAACTCCAATACAGTTCTGTCAAGTTTTGTATAGTTCATTACGATTTCACATATAACTCATGTTAATGTATGAATGATATTTAAAAAAAAATACCTTGAAGGATGTCATGTATC